ACCCACCTCGGCAACTCGGCGAGACCTCATCTCTACAATAAATCAAAAAAATTAGCCAGGCATGATAACGCATGCCTGTAGTTCCAGCTACTTGGAAGGCTGAGGCGGAAGGATCGCTGGAGCCCAGCAGGTCAAGGCTGCAGTGGCGGGAAGTGGCCACTGCACTCCAGTCTGGGCGACTGAGTGAGACTCCAACTCAAAAAAAAAAATATTAGCCAGGTATGGTGGTGTGCGCCTGTGGCATGAGCCTCCATACCTAGCTAGGTTAATTTAAGAATAATAAATTTAGAGGCCAGGCATGATAGCTTACACCTGTAATTCCACCAGTTTGGGAGGCCAAGGCAGGAGTATCACCTGAGGTCAGGAGGTGGAGACTAGCCTGGGCAACACAGACAGACTTTGTCTCTGCAAAAATTAGCCAGGCATGGTGGCACACATTGGTAGTCCTAGCTATTCTGAAGGCTGAGACAGAAGGATTCCTTGAACTCAGGAGTTTGAGGCTATAATCATATCACTCCAGTCTGGGCAAAAGAGTGAGAGCCTGGCTTCAAGGAAAAAAAAAAAAAAGAAAACCCAAGGGAGAGTTTATTTATAAACCCAAAATGGAGTTTACTTATAAAAAATTGTGCATTTTTTTTTTTTGAGTCAGAGTCTCACTCTCACCCACGTTGGAGTGCAGTGGCATGCTCATGGCTACGGCATCCTCAAATTGCTGGGTTCAGGCGATCCTTCTGCTTCAGCCTTTCAAGTAGCTGGAACTACAGGCATGTGCCATCACGCCTGGCTAATTTTTCTTGATTTATTTGTAGAGACGAGGTCTTCTCAAGTTGCCCAGGCTGGTCTCCAACCTGTGGGCTCAGGCATTTCTCTTGCCTCCGCCTTCCAAAGTGCTGGGATTACAGGCGTGAGCCACTGTGCCCTGCTGTATTTATTCTTACGTGTTTAACTTTCAGTCACTTTCAAAGTACTCTCTGATGAAATACACCTATCAAGACACTTTTTCCACTGCTCAAAACAGTTTTTGAACTTGTCAATTTTGATGCCTTTCAGCGCCTCTGCAGTTCTTGTTTCACCTCTTCCAAATCAGCAAAACGTTTCCCTTTGAGGACTTTTTTCATCCAGGGCAACAAAAAGAAAAAGTCACTCAGGGCGAGATTGAGTGAATAGGAGGGTGGGGCACAGGGGTCAGGTGGTTTCTGGTTAAAAACTGCTAAACACTCAGTGCAGTGTGGGCAGGTACATTATCATGATAGAAGTACCAGTTACCTATTTGCCACAACTTGGGACGTTTCTTCCACAAATCATGACACAGCCTTCTCAAAATTTCCAGACAAAAACTTTGGTTGATCATTTGATTCAGAGGAACAAATTCCGAGTGTACTATAAAGGTGCTGCCCCACAAAAGATAATTCTGGGTTTTTGGGGTTCCCATTTGTTTATATATAATGTGTGTATATAATAAATATATAATAAATATAGGAAATGTAGGGTTTTAGAGGGAATTAGGACTATCAGTGGGAAGCTAGGTTTGAGCGTCTGAATTTTATCAAAATATATGGAGGAGATCCAGTGTCAAATAAGTGAGCGTCTGCTCTAGCAGTTATACTAGTTTTAATCTTATCCCAAATCAAGTCTATCATAACTGTAGGCATGGGAGTTTAAATGGGTTAATTTTTTTATCACAGAAAATAATATGGCATGCAAGTCAAATGGAAAGGTTCTTGGACAAGTCCATAGAAGCTTGTCAAAGGCCACAAGAGCCATCGTTACCTGATTTATACCAGTCTCCTTAGGTTTCCCAGAACCAAAAGACTTCCCATTTATAGAAAATGAGATTTAGGTAAGTACAAGATAAAAATAAGTATACACTGAGACTGCTCTGCAGACTTAAAAAAAAAAAAGCTTTTCTCCACAGCTGTCCACTCAATAGTAATCTGAGACAAAACTGAACAGTTTTCTCTTATCACTGCAAGAATACTGACTTCAGGCTTCCGCCAAGTTTTACCACCCTTCAAGTCAGCTAGTCTCAGGCAACCACAAACCTTCTTGAGCTTCAGTCTCTCTATTTGAAAAGTGGAGATAAACTTTGCTCTAGCCTCTTCATGGGGGTATGGTAACAATCAAATAAGATACATGATAAATCAAGAAGAAAACTATAAAATATAACACAAGGTCAGGCATGGTGGCTCATGTCTGTAATCCCAGAACTCTGGGAAGTAGAGGCGAGAGGACTACTTCAAGAGCAGCCTGGGAAACTTGGCGAGTGAGACTGATTAAAAAAAAACCAAAACAACACACACACACACACACACACACACACACACACACACATCCCTATTATCCCTGACCAAATAACCAAAAAAGGTACAGGGACAGCTATTCTAAGAAATAAAACTATGAGGGCTCAAGAGATAGTCAACACATGATTTTAAGACTTTCTTTTTTTTTTTTTGAGTCAGAGTCTCACTCTGTCATCCAAGCTGGAGTGCAGTGGCATGGTCACAGTCACCTCAGCGTTGACCTGCTAGGCTCAGGCGATCCTTCCGCTTCAGCCTTCCAAGTACAAATGTGGAACTATAGACGTGTGCTACCATGCCTGGCTAATTTTTTGATATATTGTAGAGACAAGGTCTCACCAAGTTCCCCAGGCTGGTCTCGAATTCCTGGGCTCAGGCAATCCTCTCACCTTGACCTCCCAAAGTGCTGGGATTTACAGGCTTGAGCCATCATGTCCGGCTAAAAAGACTTTCATGCTATAGTCTACAGAGAGGTTATCTTTAGATCTAAATCAAACCTGAAGTAGGCTGAAGGAAACAAGAAAAGCCTTCTGATAGAGACAGGAAGCATTTAGGCCAGGATCTATGTCTCTGAAATCACTACTATTTAGACAAGTTGAAAGAAAATTAAAAAACCAAATGCCCAAAACAAAGCTTGCTTAAGATGAAGGAAATCCTGAAAACTCTAAAGCAGCAAGGTAAACCATGGCTTTTAAACTTTAAAGACAACTATAGTTGAAGTGTCTGTTTGTGTTTCTGTGTGTGTGTTTCTGTGTGTGTGTGTGTGTGTGTGTGTGTGTGTGTGTGTGTGTGTGTGTGTGTGTGTTTTCAGGGGTAGAGGCATTACCAGAGAAAATGGAATAGTTTCCCTTTTCCCCGCTGCAGCCATTATTTCAATATTCCTTTTCTAAATTTCTTTCCTTTGCTTCCTCAACTCAACTCCACTCCCATCTAAAGAGTAGAGAACAGAGCTATATTAATGATGAAAAAAAAGAGAAAGGAATGGCATTTCTCCTCTATCTCAACTAATGCTTGAATTTCAAGTAGACATGGTTGGTACTTGCTGTGGTCTGAATGTGTTCCCCAAGGTTCATGTGTGTAGAGTGAAAACATGAGCAACCTGAAAATATCCCCAAGCAGGAGATTGGAGCCGGGGAGGGGTGTTGCAAGTGGCCAATATGGGATGTCCCCTTCCCTTCAGGCTCCATGTCTGGGAATGCAGGGCAGGCAAACCATTTCTGCTGACCGTATCTTCAGCTATGTATAGTTAATTGAGGAAGGCAGCCCCTCAGGCTGGTTCAGACCAGACTGGGCCCATCTGGATCAATTCCCATAACCATTGGTTACCTTTATAAGGAACCATTTGTTCCTTATAATACAAAAAATCCTACCCCTAGAGAGAACTTGCAGCCATTTTGTGTACATGAGACATATGTATATTCTCACACTATGCTGAACAATAGAAATCCTACCCTATTCACACTTTACCCCATACTCTGCCCTATATAAAATGCTATACAAACTATGTGCCTTTTACAGTCAGGAATGGTTTTATCCTGTCCAGTCAGTCACTCCTGGAATATCTTCCTGTACTTAAGTTCCTAAATGAAGCCCACGTCGCAAGTCTTTTATCTCCAGGTCATTTCTTCAGCCTCTCAGACACAGTGACTTCTTCCATTTTGGAGTCTTTGGGGGTCAGGCACTACAATGTGTTGGAAACTTAATCCCCAAAGCAATAGTTTTAAAAGCTGGGGCATTTAAGAGGTCGGTCATAGCCGGGCTCGGTGGCTCAGCCTGTAATCCCGTGCCTTTGGGAGGCTGAGGTGAGTGGATTGCCTGAGCCCGTGGGTTCGAGACCCACCTTGGCAGGCGAGACCTCATCTCTACAATAAATTTAAAAAAAAATTTAGCCGGCCGTGATAGCGCGCGCCTGTAATTCCGGCTACTCGGAAGGCTGAGGCGGAAGGATTGCCGGAGCCCAGCAGGTCAAGGCTGCAGTGGCTGGGAGCGGCCACTGCACTCCAGTCTGGGCGACAGAGTGAGACTCCAACTCAAAAAAAATAAAATAAAATAAAGAGGTCGGTCATGAGGACACTGTCCTCATTAATGGATTTATGTCATTAGTGTGGAAGTGGGTTAGTTATCTCGGGAGTAGGTTCCTGATAAAAATGATGAGTTAGGCCTCTTTCTCAACCCCCCTTGCACATGCATGTGCTCTTCTTGCTCTTGCACCTTCTACCATGGAATGATGCAGCATGATGACTCTTGCAAGACCCAGATTCTTTGATCTTAGATTTTCTAGCCTCTAGAACTAAGAAATAAATCTCTGTTCTAAGTTTTCCAGTCTCAGGTATTCTTTAGCAGCACAAACAGACAAGACAGTACCTGAGATCATAAATGGAAAATTGGAATCTTTAAGGTAGTAAAAGGTGGAAGGGGAAGGGCCAGGAACAGAGCAAGATTCACATGATATCCTTCAATCCATGCAGGGAATGGGAACTGCAAAGATGACAATTGGCACAGATATGGTTCAATTAAAATAACTTACAAGGACAACCATTTCATTTTTGGATCTATATCAAGTCTGTTTAAATAAAGTTCCAGCTGCACAACGTAAACATTATCAGATAATACCAAAAATGTTACTTTTATTCATACCCACTGTAATTAGGTACTTTGATAAATAACCAAAAGATTTTAAGATACAGTTCCAAGGTAACCTACCTGCAACTGCATGACCACATAGTTGAATCGATCATTCCTCCCACAGCCAATAAATCTACAAACATGGTCTTTCCCTGGATTAAAAGAAAGAAAACAGAAGGAAAGAATATACTATGATTTATCTTCTAAATAATTAATAAAATTTTTCTGTACTTTATGTTTGAATATAAAATATGCAAAATATGTCTTGAGAACCTTAAGGATAGAAAATTTATATTACTCAAAATTTCTACCTATGTCTCCTCTTCCCAGGCACTAGACTACTCCATATGTAGTCAAATAAATGTTTGTTGAATGAAAAAATAATCAAATGATTACATGAATGAGTAAGCAAATGTATAGTAATTTATTTGAGAAGAAAAAGATTAAGAGGTCAATTCAGACCAACTTGTCCAGACACAAAACATATAAAAGCACAGAAAGGCAGTAAAATAAGAAACATGTCAAGAATATAAGCCCTGAATTTTAGACATGTTCTGCCACTCACTATTATATGTCTTCAGCAAGTCACATAATCTTTCTGGGCCTCTTTGATTAGTTCCATGTGTGAAATCCAAGAATGTGCTGACTGTGGCATGGAGGGGAGCAGCAGCAGATCAGGTAGAAATCTACCTGATTAAACAACAGCATGCCAAGGTCCCAGAAGAGGATCAAACACTGAGTTCCATGACCAAAAGAAGACACCTGGCTGGAGCACAGTGGCTAAGGGGAGGAAGAGCAAAGTGAGACAGTTGTTGGAGAAGCAGATCCTGGAGGATATTTATTCTTCGTGATAAGGAATCTGAACCACATGTATAGGTCAGTGTTTTCCAACCCTAGTTATTTACCAAAACCAGGGAAAACATTTTAAAGAGTCCTAAGTTCTACACTGATTAAGAATCTGTGAAGGAAGATCCAAAATATAAGTTTTTCAAAAGATCTTAGTCTAAATGATCCAAAAGCAGGCAAGACATGGGTAGATATTTGAAAACTACCTCTGGGTAGTGGGAAGCAACTAAAAGATTTTAGGAAAAGGAGTAACACACTAAAACACTACATTTTAGAACATCCCTGTGGTGGCAATGAGGAAAACAGACTAGGGAGAGGTCAATTCTAGAGGCAGAAAGGTCACTCTGAGGATAGTCACAATATTCTGGGAGAGAGAATAAGGGGGTCTGAACTGTAAGTATTACAGTAAGGAGAGATAAAACAGGATAAATCTGAGAGATACTAAAGATGTCTTTTAAAAAATTTTTTTTTACTAGAACTGGTACTTTAAATAAATAAAATGTTGTACCAAAATAAAAGAACATAGTAAGTTGTATATATTTTTAAAGGATATCAAAATGTCTAGTTTGAGGACAGCCAACCAAATTCAGTAGACAATTGTAATTTCAGGCCTGGTGTTGAGACATAAAGGCTGAGTCCCAGAATACACATTTTTTTTTTTCAGATGTACATTGAGGAACCACTAATTCATAGAAGATAGATGGAACCAGAAACTTAGATTGATAAATGAAAGAATAAAATATAAGAGGAAAAGAAACTTATGCTTTTAATTCTAGAAAATGCAATATTTAGAACATGAGCAAAAATAAGAGTCCCTCAAGGAAATATAGAGGAATAGCATGAGAGAGAGGAGGAAATTCTGAGAGAGGAGTATCACAAAAAGCAAGGGAGAGCATTTTTTTTTTTTTTTTGAGTTGGAGTCTCATTCTGTCGCCCAGACTGGAGTGCAGTGGCCGCTCCCGGCCACCGCAGCCTCGACCTGCTGGGCTCCGGTGATCCTTCCGCCTCAGCTTTCCGAGTAGCCGGAATTACAGGCATGCGCTACCACACCCAGCTGATTTTTTGATTTATTGTAGAGATGAGGTCTCGCTGCCCAGGCGGATCTCGAACCCGCGGGCTCAGGCAATCCACTCACCTCAGCCTCCCAAAGGCGCGGGATTACAGGCTGAGCCACCGAGCCCGGCTGGGAGAGCATTTTTGAAGGCGGAAGTGGCCACTGACAAGTACTACAGAAAGGCTGAGAAGTGCTAATATTAACAATTAGGAAGTATTAGTAAGTGGAATGAGCAGAAAACAGCTTATAGTGGGTTAAAGAGTAAATGGAATATGAAAAACTGAGGGCAGTCTTTGAAGAAGCTTGCTTGTGAGGAAGAATGACAGGCCAAGAGCTAGAAGGTCAAAGTTTGATAGACTGATGAAACACTCAAAAAGAATGTGTTCAATGACTGACCTAAAATATAAATACAATTAAGACTCTTAGTTAAGCTGAGTGTGATGGTTCACACCTGTAACCATAGCTACTTGGGAGAGGATGAGGCAGGAGAACTTCTTGAGCCAGAATTCTGAGACCAGCCTGGGCAGCATAGAGAGACACTATCTCTTTAAAAAAAAAAAAAAAAGATTCTTTTTAGCTAATAATTACAGTTTTTTTTAACATCTGTATTATCAGCTATCACACTGTCTCTCATTCTCTATGTTTCTGTTATAAAAGGATGGAACCAGCAAGAATGGGTACAATGAGAATACAATAATTCACAATGCATACAGTACATGTTGGTCATTTCACATATATTTTACACATATTTGCAAAACTTTGTCATCTAGTAAATTGTAGTAAGAATGAAAGGATAAAACGTTTAATTAGCAACGTACTCTTTTCCTCAACTTCAACAAAGCAATAAAAAATAATTTAAACTATTTATTTTTTTTATTACCCATTCTTCAAAATTCCACCTTCCCAACATGTAATATTTAAATGCAGTACCGTTATTACAAAGACATTTCAACCATCTAAAAACAAAAGACCGTACTAGATTTAACTCTTCTTGGAACATTCCTTTTGAAAGATCTTGATGGCTGGACTCGGTGGCTCAACCTGTAATCCCAGTACTTTGGGAGGCTGAGTTGAGTGGATTGCCTGAGTTCTCGAGTTTGAAACCAGTTCAGGCAACTTGGCAAGATCTTGTCTTTACAATAAATAAAAAAATTAGCCAGATGTGGTAGCATGTGCCTGTAGTTCCAGCTACTTGGAAGGCTGAGGCAGAACAATCGCTGGAGCCCAGCAGGTCGATGCTGGGGTAGCTGTGAGCATGCCAGGCACTCCATCCTGGGCAACAGAGTGAGAGTCCAACTCAAAAAAAAAAAAAAAAAAAGATATTGATAAATTATACCAAAACATGATTTGTCTCAATGCTAAAACCATGCTACTGGCAGACAGCAGACATTCTTGCTCCTGTCCTGTCCATTGTGCCCTTCATGAAATATCTTCCCTTAAATAAATCTACCTTTCTTAATTTAAAAAAAAATGCTCCTTTTAAGAAGAAAAAAGTTCGAAATTAGATAAACAGTAGACCCTTTATTGAATAATCAAAACACAAGGTCAGTGGCAAATTTTCTAGGATTCATTAATACATTTTCATTGCCTTAGGTAAGAACTTAATGAGCTGTTTTACTGCATGGCATAGTATGTTGCTACTCTTATAATTTATATGTATGCAATTAATGAAACTATTTACTAAAGTTAGTTCAATAAGAATATACAAATTTTTGGAAGCATGGGGAAGCTACAATTAAATTTGGAATAGTAACTTCACCACCACTTTGGCAACTGTTAAAATAATTTTTTTTTTTGAGTTGGAGTCTCACTCTTGTCGCCCAGGTTGTAGTGCAGTGACACACTCATGGCCACCGCAGCCTCGACCTGCTGGGCTTAGGCGACCCTTCTGCCTCAGCCTTCCAAGTAGCTGGAACTATAGGTGTGCACCACCACGCCTGGCTAGTTTTTAAAGATCTTGACTAAAATAATTTTTATAATAACTAGCACATACTGAACTCCATGAGTACAGGGACTATCTCTATCTTTTTCTGGAACCTAGCACAATACCTAGCAAAGAGTGAAACGTTCAAAGAATATGTGTTAATTAATTAATTAATAGAAGTAATAATAATAGCTAATAAAATATATGCAATATGCATACATAATACGCAAGCATTTATGCCAGGCTCTATATTAAGTGCTTTACATGCATTTAATCCTAAACATTATTATTTTCTCTATTTTTCAGATACAGAAATACTGTAGAGACTTACCAAGGCTAATTACTTTGTCCAAAATCACACCTGAAAAATGACAGGGCAGTTTGATTTCAGAGACTTTGTTCTTTTTTTTTTTTTTTTTTTTGAG